GAGATTATATCCCGTACGGCTCCAAGAGATTTTGTTACTGTTCGCTGCCGCCTCACTGGCGGCTTAGTTCCTCTCGAGCTGCACGTAGCTGATTTGCGTGAGGCGTTAGGCCTTCCTGATTACGATCTACGTCCCCCGTTTCGTGAGCCACTGCTTACCAGCAGCCCGACCGTCAATGTTGAAGACGTCGATCTCATGAGCGATACAAGCATGGAATAATAACGAAGTCAAAAAGAAATACATTTTTTTACTGAAAAAAAAAAATTCTTATCTAGATCTTGGAGCCCATACCCGCAATGGTTGTAGAGATTGACGCCAACATTCTCGTGCTTCTTCGTGCATTGTACCAAAGCTACACTGATCGTTCGTAAAGCGTCTTGTCGAAAAGCCCATGGCGCGTGTCGAATAAGCCAGCATTTAAGCAATGAGAATCCAAGTTCGATAGGGTTTAATTGGGGAGAGTAAGGCGGCAGAAAAAACAATATGCTGCTCCGGGAGTGTATGAGTTCCTCTAGCTCCTTGTACATGTGGATTTTTGCATTATCGAGAACGACGATAGATCTACAAAAAACGTTAGAGAAACCCTTCAAATTAAAACCCGCAAGAATATTTATACCTGGGAAGTGGCCACGGATTCAGATAAGGAGCGATTTTTCTTTGAAAGACGCCGTGAAACGCGACTCTGTCCCTGATGTGGACTCTCACGCGAAAAACCCTGTAACATCAAAAGCAGCTAAAATTGACAAACGCTCTCCACGGCTAAACGGAAGAGCAACAATTGCAGGCGTGCCTCGACGTGACCAAGCATACTTTCTAAGCGCATCTCTACTGTCTTTAGAAGTTTCATCGATAAAAACTAATTAATCGGGTCCACTGTAAAATGGACGTAGTTTTCGATAGAAGCTCTCTACTTGAGCCGGCACGTTTTTACGCGCGCGCTTAGTTAGTACTTTGCTGGTAATTTTGAGGTCAAATCTAAGAAGACGACAAAGTGTTGGAGTAGAAAAGTTCAGCGTGCTACCAAACCTGTCCTTCACTGCCTCTTGTAATTCCTCTAAGTAAAAAAACGGATGAACACGAATGTAGTCTTCGGCAAAATCTACTGCCTCTTGAGGCCATCGTGCAGATTTAGTTTTTCTATCTTCTGGTAGCACATTTTCTTAACTTTTGAAAAATGCCACCGCTCAATAGATCGAATAGACACACCCAAAACACAAGATACTAGCGCCATGCTAATGCCATGCATGTACACTAACACTATAGCTCTCCACCGCAAGTCTGTCGAGATTGTCATGACGACGCTGGAGACAAAATGGAAGTGAGGCTAAGTAGAGACTGAGTTGCGGTACACTTAGCAACGAATGGCGGGTAGCAAACCGCCAAACTGCCCGAATTAAAAGAATCCGAGGCTAACTCCAAGCTCTCTCCGTTAACGCAAACCTAAATGTTGCTCTAATAGATGGGTGCACATGAATAGGGTTATTTTAATTCAGGCCGAATTAGCGACATACCCGCCAAAACGGCTGAAAGGCACATTATAATTAGGACATATTAGTAATTCCGATTCTAATACCAATCCCTGGTTGCATTCCAGACTTTTTGCGAGAAAATTCATCTAAGAAACAACAACCTAATTTCACAATTTTTTTCACGTTAGAATAATTTGTACTTTTGTAGATTCTATCCTACATTCCGAGTTTCTACAAATCAGCACATTCCTACACGCGCTATCCGTCGCCGGATTGGTGGAGCGTCAGAAGCCAGAAGGGGGGAAATCGCGGACACTCGAGTGTTCCCCACCAAGCACAAAGGAGATATTTGACCGATCATGGACTCGCGCGGGGAGATGAAGGCACTGGATGCGCAGATCGAGCGCCTGCGCCGCGCCGAGAACCTGACGGAGACGGAAATTTACGAGCTGTGCCAGAAGGCCAAGGAGATCCTGGCCGGTGAATCCAACGTGCAGCCGGTCAAGTGTCCCGTGACGGTCTGTGGCGATATCCACGGCCAGTTTTACGACCTGCTGGAGCTCTTCCGGATAGGGGGCGCCTGCCCAGACACCAACTACCTCTTCATGGGAGACTACGTGGACCGCGGCTACTACTCGCTCGAGAGTGTTGCCCTTTTGGTGGCGCTAAAAGTGCGTCACCGCGAACGTATCACGATCCTTCGCGGCAACCACGAAAGTCGCCAGATCACGCAGGTGTACGGCTTCTACGACGAATGCCTACGTAAATACGGCAACGCCAACGTGTGGAAGTACTTCACCGACCTATTCGACCACTTGCCAATGACTGCGCTCATCGAGAACCGCGTTTTTTGCATGCACGGCGGCCTGTCGCCCTCTATCGACACGCTGGACCATGCACGTGCACTGGACCGCGTGCAAGAGGTGCCTCACGAAGGCCCCATGTGCGACCTGGTGTGGTCCGACCCGGACGACCGCTGTGGATGGGGAATCTCCCCCCGTGGCGCCGGCTACACGTTCGGTCAGGACATCACGGAGCAGTTCAAGCGCAGCAACGGCCTCACATTCATCGCGCGCGCCCACCAGCTTGTCATGGAAGGATACCAGTGGACTCACAACCGCGGCGTTGTGACCATCTTCAGTGCCCCCAACTACTGCTACCGCTGCGGCAACCAGGCCGCGCTTATGGAGATCGACGAGGTCATGGCTGACCGTAACGGAGACAAGGTATACGAGACGTGCAAGTTCATCCAGTTCGACCCTGCCCCGCGTGACAGCAACTTCAACGAGAAGAAGCGTACGCCCGACTACTTCCTGTAGACTGAGGACGGAGACGACAACGTAGCGCAGGCTGGACAGGTGTGAATGATACGTAGCGACACGACGAGCGACCAGAAGGACAGGGAGGTGTACACGGCGTAAAGGATGCTCACTGATAACACGACCGAGACGCTATCAAGAAAGACATCAGAGCTGGAAAGGCAAAATAAGCAGGTAGGTCCAACCGGAGAGCAAGAAGGTGTGAGGTGCAGATTGCTGGGGCTCTGGCCGGTTCGCTTGGCGTGGAACGTTCCGGCTTCTCACTCAGGCCTTTTCTGCTGACGAGGTGGGCACAGTATTCTTCATATATGCACGATTTAGTTGGTTATTGCCGCGTTTGGTTGTTCCAGATCTGGTCGTGTGTTTTTTTAGTTATCCAGGTTGCAGGCTCACCTAGAGCATGGTGAGGAACTGTTGCAGCTGCTTCTTGAGTTCCAACGAGTCGCTGTGTGTCGGGTTGGTGGTGAGCGCGCGATTGACCTTCGTGAACGAGTCGTGGAAGTCGCCCACCTTGTACGCGAGCAGAGCTGGAACGGGCAACAGAATGTTACAGTTAGCATGAGCAAGGAAGATAGAGAAGACCAACGCACCGCGGTTATAGCTGGGCTCGAACATGAAGTCTGCGAGCGACTCGGATAGCTGGAAGTTGGCACGCGCTTGGTCCAGATTGCCCTTACGCAGTTCAAGCACCCCAAGGTTATTGTACGACTCGGCGTGGTTGCTGTCGACCGACACAGCGATCTTGAAGGCCTGATAGGCGAGTCCCAGATCTCCGATACCAATAGCAACCTGCCCAATGTTGTACCAGACATCGGCCATGCAGTCGTCCGACGCGAGGGACAGCGCTCGATCGAAGCACGATAGTGTCATGTCATACTGCGACGCGTAGAAGCAGCAGAGTCCGATGTTGCACCAGAGCTCGGCAGTGTTCACGTCCATCTGTAGCAGACGTCGATAGTAGCGCAATGCAACCTCTGGGTGGTCCGTGTAGAAGTAGTTCGACGCTAGGCATGCGATGGCTTCGACGTTAGATGCATCCAGCTGAAGTACCTCCTTGTACACGCTGACGCTCTTCTCGACGTCGTTGAGCATGTCGTGAACGCGGGCGATGCTCACCAGAAGTTGCGTATCCCCTGGGAACTTGGCCTTACCCTTCTCGTACCTGTCCAGCGCTGTATTTGGCTGGTCAAGACGCAGATACACTTTACCCAGCTCCAAGAACGTGATCACCATGTCCTGGTTGCGTAGTGATGACTCGAACTGCTTCTCAGCGTCGCGGAAGAGTCCAAGCTGGTAATAACACTTGCCCAGCCTTGCCTTCCACCACCAGTCTTTATAGTCGGCAGCCACTGTCGCCTCTGCAGCCAGTTCAAGTGCTTTACGTGGGTTATGCTCACAGTAGAGCAGGTAGTCCACCAGCGCCTTTGCGATAGCTGGCCGCTTCGCGTACCGCTTAAAATCGAGGCGATTCACGTCGATGAACACGCCCGAGTCGGACGCTTGCATCGACGCTGTACCAAGTCGCACCTGTCGCCCCAGCGTCGTCGCCGGGCGAGAAGTACCCGGTCGATTGCCCTGCAGCGCGCGATCCACCGACATGCTGCCTGTTCCCGGTCTAGAGCTCGTTCCAGGTCTTGCAAAGCCGCTGAGCGGGCGGCCTGTAGACGTCATGGGGCGCAGACTCGGGTCGCCAGTGCCCGCTCGTGAGTTTGGGCGGTTGAGAGAAGTGCCCGGTCGTGGCATGGACGCCATGACGTTGTCGTCCATGAGGAGATCCGCAGCGCCGTCCTCCTCCAACTCCGAGTCGTCGATGTAGTTTTGCATCGTCATAGCTTTGGTCTTGGTCACCCATGCAGCCTGGTCGTATGGGTTCTGAGCCAAAATGTCCGTACAGATATCGATACAGTCGGCGAATCTCCGCTGGCGTGAACGCAGCAGCGCCATGTAGAACGGGTCCACCTGGTCCAGCGCATCGAATTCCGCCATGACTTCGATCTGCTTTGATGGTGTCGCTTCGTGCGTTGAAGTGGCTCATCTTACTTAAAAGTTACTTTTTTGTTAGGGAGCCACCTTAGGTGTTCAAAAGTACACATTGCTGCACATTACGCCGGCAGATTTTTTTTTTTCATCGCGTAGTTTACAAACGAAAGTAGGCGAAGCTTCCTGATCCCAATCTGTTGAAATCGACTACAACACCGCTAATAACACCTGGTGCAAAAGAGGTCTACTCCACACCTCCACGCACCGCACATAGCAACATTGGGATTTCTTGCAAAAGGAGGCATTCAGTTGGAGTTGGTGTTTTCTGAGCGGAGAAAACAGGAGAAGAGATGCCGTCGAGGGCGAAACGTGGTTGTTTTCTTATGTTCAAAGCTTCAACAACATGAAATTCAAAGCTTCAACAACATGAAACATTTGATGAATGAGCCTGCCGTCGAATTGAATTGAAGAGTCGATCGTCTACATATATATCACATTGAAGTTAGGAATTAGCAGATTGAAGTTAGGAATTAGCAGATTACGGTAGATTGTTGACCACAAAGTTGATCAATTCGGAATTTGCCAGCCAAGAGACACCCAGCTTGATAATGGCACCCCGTTCAACGCGCAACGCCTCCACGTACGCCGCCTCTTACATCGTTCTCTAGCGAGTATGATATTCACCCCAATGTCTCTAGTTACGAACTGCAGGCTTCACTGCCACATCTTCCTGTGCCCTCCCTCCACACCACGCTGGACAAGTACCTGCGCTCATTAGAATCTCTGGTCACTAAGGTTGACCCAACTAGTCCCGCACAGCCTCAAGCTCAGTATTAATCCGCGCATTATCCCTTTGTTCACTTCAGGAAGAGCTAGAACAGACCAGGAAGCTCGTACACGAGTTTGGGAAGCCTGGAGGTCAAGGTGAAGCTCTGCAGACGGAACTATTGCAACGAGCCAAAGAGAAAGAAAACTGGGTAGAAAATAATCCTCGAAGCTAAATGGACTCAATCCTAACAATATCTTGCTGTAGCTGGCAGAGTGGTGGGAACAAGTGGCTTATCTCAGTGATCCGACGCCGAACGCGCTGTTCGTCAACATGGTGACAGGCTTTGGCTCGTTCCAAGACTTCGATCGACCTGTTTCCCAAGCCAGACGAGCAGCAGAGACTGTGAGATACACATGTGAGTATCTGGAGAGACTCAAACGTGAGCTAGTGCCACCAGAGACAATGGGTGGCCACGTTTTGTGTATGAACATGTTCCGTCGTCTATTCTCCACTTGCCGCATCCCGGAGAGGCCGACAGATCGATTCAAACGAGTAGACCCGGTCACGATTCGCCATATTACCGTATTTTGTGAAGGCCGAGTGTTCGTGCTGCGTGTATACGACGCTGACGACGAACTTCTGACCATCGGAGACTTGGAAGTGCAGCTCCTGCATATCTTGCGGCACTCGGCGTATTTGAACTCTCTTCCTGCAAGAAAACGCGATGCCGACCTGCCGCAATTTGTAGGTGCTCTGACAGCATTGAGACGCGATAAATGGACTGAAACTCGTCAAGCTATGGTGGAGTTTGACCCGTTAAACGAGCGAAGTCTTGACAAGATTGAAAGCAGCCTTTTCTCGCTGTGTCTAGAGTCCTCAACACCCGGTACGCCCTCGGAGTTAGCACGACAATGTGCTGCTGCTAATGCTGGCAATCGCTGGTTTGACAAGAGCTTTCAGTACCTCGTGTTCGCCAACGGAATGGTAGGAGCCAACATGGAACACGCTAACGCAGACGCTACAGTACTGCAGTCGATGTTTCGGTGGTTGGGAGAGCGCTATCTGAATCGAAACGGTGGCTACGAGACGTTCATTGAGAGTCGCCATCACTCGCTGGAGTTCTTACCTCCTCCTGAGCTGCTGCGCTGGCGTTTATCTCAAGAAATCACGTTAAACACGATCCCAACCGCATTGACAGATTTCCAGCGATATGGCAGTACATTACGCATGATAGTGGTGCGAAACAAGACATTTGGAAAGACCAAACTACGGGCGGTGAAGCTGTTTCCTGACATTTTCGTGCAAATGGGAATTCAGCTGGCAGGCTTTCGAGTGTTTGGCCGTGTAGTTCCAACGTACGAGAGTGGCCACACTCGTATGTTCGTTGAAGGTCGCACGGAGACCATCCGTACGGTGACAAGTGAAGTACTGGCATGGCTGCAGATGCAGGATCAACCTGATGCGGATGAAGCAGAGGTGGCAGATAAACTCAAGCGCGCTATGTCACGCCATAAGGAGATCTCACTTGAGGCGCTTTCGGGCAATGGAATAGACCGCCACTTACTGGGACTGCATATTGCAGCGATGCAAAAGACTGGTTCTCCTCCTCCATTGTTTACTGATCCTAGCTACGCTAAGAGTGGCGGGGGTGGCAATTTTGTGCTATCTACGAGCAACGTGTCCGGGTATCCGTGGCTCTGGGGCGGATTCGTGCCGATGCTACCTCACGGAATCGGAATTTGCTACGGGTGTGAAAACGACTTTCTGTCGTTCATGATCACATCGTTTGACCCGAGTGATCGCGACCAGCAACTTCCAGGCCCGCCAGGTCCACGGCTTCCACGAGTCACTGCAGCAGAATTCCAGCGCGCGCTCTTCAAGGCGTTCGAAGACATTTACGCGCTCATGGAACGCAACCATGAAAGTTTGAAACCTGTTTGCAAAATGTGAGCTGACCTAAACTTGATCCGTGGTCTCACTTCACTCGAGAACAAGCTGACAATGACATCACGGTTAGACTTAGAGACAGCGTATCTAAGAGGATAGCAAACCATTAATTCATTCCGTTCGAATCTCTAAGAGCCAGGGTCTCAACCAAAGCTCATCATCTGCGCGGACTAAACAAATCCACGTCGGTCTCGTTGTCGCCGGACCTTCAACCGAGAAGTACCACGCCTTGACTGGTCTTCTTTAACTCACTTATCACTCGCCAATCTGCTAGCCAGACGTCAAGAGCGGCCATGAAGGCGTGCCAGATCCAGTCGCAGGGGCTCATCGTACTGCTATGTCTCGTGAACCTTCTTAACTATATCGACCGGGGCATCATACCCGGCGCTCCTCAGAGCTTCCGACACTTCATCACGTCGTCCTTAGGCGTGGCTGTGACGGACCAGTCCGTCTACTTCGGACTACTGTCCTCTTCCTTCATTATCGGCCACTCGGTACTGTCGATCGTCTTCGGCTACTTCGCACTGACTCACCGACCGTTCCGGATCATCTCGCTTGGCACAAGTATCTGGATTGTGGCTATCATCATCTGTGCCATATCCGAACACGTCAACAGCTACGCACTGCTGATCGTCGGTAGAGTGTTGAGTGGCGTTGGGGAGGCCTCGTTCCAGTGTGTAGCGCCCCCGTTCATCGACCGCCACGCCCCACCGGCCCGTCGATCATTCTACGTGGGGATCTACTTGGCGTCTGTCATCGTGGGCACGGCCATCGGGTTCGTGTACGGGTCGCTGTTCGCCGAGTCTCCTTTGACGTGGGCGGGGGCGTTCTACTTTGAAGCCATCTTGATGGCGTGTCTGGTCTTCTGCTGCTTGTTTTGCGTACCCGACGAGCTCAACGTCGTGCCGCCGACAGACGACGAAGCCGCACTGAGGAAACCACTCGTGTCGACCAATGAATTCGCTAGTGAAGTGATGTCGCTGTCGAGAGCGAGTCATGATACAGTGGAGAAGAACGCGGCTGAGCTGTCACCTGCCGAATACGTCGAGAAATTCGGCGTCGAGAGGCCAAACGAAGAGACCTCCAAGCCTTTCCTTCAGACATGGTGGGAGATCCTCTCGGATGTCCCGTTCTTGATGGTGGTGCTGGCTCATGGAGCATATACGTTCACGCTAGGCGTGTTCAATGCCTTCGGACCGGACGTGTTTATTGGGCTGGGGCTCTTCTCTGATGAGACTTCAGCGTCCTTGATCTTTGGTGGTATTGTGGCTGTCACGAGTCTCATTGGCACTCCACTTGGAGGCTTCGTGCTTGATCGATACACCAAGCACACTACCGTGCCCGGTAAAAGATGCTTTGTCGCGGTCTCGTCGCTCTTCTTCTATGTATCCATCGCTGAAGTCTTCGCGTTGATCATGTGCTTCATATCGGACAGCAAAGGAGCGTTCCTGACGTGTTTTACTATTGCTCTCTTCTGTATGTGCGCACTGTGGGGGCCCGAGATGGTGGCGGTGATGGAGCTGTTCCCATCCTCGCGTCGGTCGATGGCCATTTCAGCCAACGCAGTGATCATCCACGTCTTCGGAGACGTACCTGCACCTATTGTCATGGGCGTTGTAAGGGACAAATGGGCTCCGAACTGTGGCACGGTCGAGGAAGATGGAGACGCTGTTCTGAATCCGTTGTGCAGCGAGGACCAAGACGGACTCAAGAACTTTATGCTGCTGTCGGTGCTGTGGATGATCTGGGCGGTGATTCTGTGGGCCCTAGCCATGGTTGCTGTTAAGAGAAGACAAAGGAATGGGGGGTTTGTGCTCACCGCACCAGCAGAGATTTAAGAGAAACTGAAGTATTTGTCGTTTGAAGCTATTGGAAC